CTACCAACCAAAGCAAAAGAAGAAAACTTTGAAACAGTCATCCTTTCGTTGAAATACAAAAGAAAAATGCTATAGATACATAATATTGTACATAGGGAAGTATATAACACTCACATTTTATTAAAAAAACAATTGGACTCTACTCCATGTGAGTGTTATGTACACCTCTATGTACATTTATTCTTATAGCATTTTTCAATACAAAAACTATTCTCAATTGTGGTACATTTACAAATAAAAATTGTGTGCCGCATATGTGTAATAAAAAGTGCTAAGGCTCGTTGCAGGAGTAAATTTCTCAAAATAGTCTGATGAAAGACCATGCTTTTCTAGGCAAGCCACGAGCCAGGCTCGAAATTGCGGGCTCTATCCCTCTATCTTGCTGTATATCAGTGTATAAGCATTACAATTCTTTTATGTGCGAATGCCATCATTTTGTTTATTCTTCCATTGAGTTCATATCATCTAGTAATCAGGTGCAGGTGATGCTCATTACACTAAAACCACTATTTTGACAAATCGCATTTTCTTTTTCCTGGCAAAACATTTCTATACACGAGCTAGTGGAACTACTCTACGTACAATAATGTTACTGTATCTCCATCTACATTTATTTAGTGAGGGCTAAAGCACTTACATTATATATCATATACAAAAAATCAAAAATAAAAAAATAATCAGCAAGATCATCCCGTGAGGTAATCATATTTCCAAGCATAGAATGGTTGAGGGGTTCCAAGTCTTGACGCCATCCAACAAATCAAATGAAGGAAAAGAACTCACCAGTCCAAGCTGATATTCCTTGAACTGTATAACTTATCAATGTATTCAATCACTGGAAGTGAGGCATTGATGTACCTAACCATTTCTCTCTTGGCCGACTCATCTGAGCCAAAAATCGGTATAGAAAAAATCACTAAATCATCCAAGTTACTTGTTCACCAATAATAATAAAAAAAAAAAGTAAAAAGAATAAAAATTACCAGTTTTAGAAGTTGACAACCACAAACAAACAAACAAATTCTCGCAAATTTCTAACTTACCAGTTTCATTTAGCTTGACAAGTAGTTGATCCCTAGTTGGCAGAGCATACATGCCAGCATAAACTGCTGTCCTCACTGCCCACGTGTGGTATGGTGCGCAAGTTTTTGTGTAGGCAGTTGAAGCAGCTTCTTTCAGGTAATAGTCACTGTAAGAAACATAAAAATAAAAATGCCAAGACATGTTTTAAATGTTGGAAATCGGAATTTGTATTCCATCAAAGTAAATATGTGCAACTTATTAAATAAGACATATAGCTAGAATTCTTTTTCCACTCGGGCTGCAAAATATGCAACTGTTATTAAACCAAGTTGTCCACTAACATAGTTTGGTTTGACTTGTGAAAGTTCAAGGTCGACTAACTTGTATATATAACGATTCAAAATCGAACAACTAATCGAGCTTGTTTATCAAACAAGACGGGTCGAGCGCGATCACTCAGTTAGATTTTCTAGTTTTAGCTAAGTTTTATTTATTAAATGAGTCGAACTTTCAATTTGTACAATTCAAACTCGAGCTCACATTGTTTATTAAACATGATGAGCCACGCCAGCTCATTTATTAAATGAGCACGAGTTCGAACATAAAGTACTAAAAAATATTTAATATAAGTAACATGAACCGCACATTCAATAATATCAACATGTAGATGTTGCATTTGTAAAATAAAAATATCAATTATTATACTTTTTATTCGTGTTTTATGGAGGTAATCCTCCTTTAACAAAAAAACTTATGAATTATTAGCTATTCTTTTATATAGATACACGACAAATGTTTATTATATTTTTTCTCATGTACTTTAATTTTAAGTAGAAAACACAACATAATTCATTAAAAAGATTGCTTTGAGATGGTCAAGTAGTCCCACCATTCTTGTTATACAATAAGTCATTTAAGTTATATCATTTCATTAAATATGTCACACAAATAAATAGAATTTAGTAGTAATTTCATATATTTAAATATTATTTATTTAAAAATTCAGTGAATATATAAACGAGATTGTGAAATCCATAAATTCAATTACATAATAAGCCTAATGGAAGTCTAGCAGTATCAAATATTTTCTCGAATAAAATTATCCAAATAAAGTCTATTTAACTAAATAAAAAAATAAACAAAAAGGACGAAGAACGGATTGATAAGCTAAAAAGAACTTAAATTATGTTCAAGTATATAATTCACTAATTAATTTTAAAACAAATTTAATTTATTTAAACCATAATAAAATTAACACAGAGCTAAATTTTAAGACCGGGCTAGAGCCCACCGCCCCAACCGGGTGACTCCACCCTTGTATATAGGTGTATCAAAGAGGAATATATTATAGAGATGTCCTATGAAAGGAAACTTCTCATGAAACTGTTGTTTACCATCATCCATATCTGCTTCTTTCCTCAAGAGAAAAAGCTGAAATGTGAGTGAATTATCGCTTTATTTGCAAATAGTGTTATAATCGAACTGCACAAGCAAGCGCCCGTGTTCAATTATGTTCGAAAATTAGCAAACTTTCATGAACATGTTTGTGTTCATTCGATTAACATAAGAGCCTAATGTTTTGTTAAAGCATGACTTGATTAACAAAGAAAAATGAGCTTTATACAAGCGCAAATGTTCAATTCGTTTACAGATAGCATTTGGTTCAGGGACGGAGCCTATAAGGCCCAGCATGGGCCTAGGCCCACACTGGAAAAAAAACTATCTTATATACCCTACTCAATAAATAATTTAATACTCAATTAATAAATAAAAAAACAATATAGGAACACAAATAAGAGAAGAAAAGAGATAATGGGAAAAAAATCATTGTTCTTGTTTATTTTGAGAGTAAATCTAGTTCTTTTTTTATTAGATTTGATATAAAAATTAAAAATTTAAACTTGTATTTAATTGAATTTTGTTTCTTAAAAGACTATTAACATATTTAAATTTGTGTGTGATTGACAACTTATAGGGCTCTTAAAAGTTTGATAGATTAGATAAAATATTTTATACATTATAATTTATTCTTTTGTATCAAATTATGGAGAAAAATATTTTTCTAAATATTATTGACAAAAAAGTGCATGTGAAAATATTTCAAAATTATTTACTTTTGTTCCAAATATACTTGAAGTGAATTATAATATTGTTAGGCCGAATGAAAATGTAAAAACTTTATTGTAGAGTCATACCAAGCTATGAAAACTTAAAAGAATTTCTATGAATGTGTATTTTGTATTTATATTTTATTGTGATGTATTATATTTGTTTTCTAGAAACAAGTAGGCCCTCACTCATATTATGAGCTAGATCCGCCCCTGATTTGGTTGACAGTTAGAACATATTTACAAACTTTCTGGGACTACATATGTTCATATTATTGTGCATATATTTGGTTCCAAGTCCAAGTATCCTACTACCAGAGCTACAAGCTTCTCATGTATCACTATTACTTACACTCCAAAAATGAAAGAAAACTCTCCTCAAATAAAATTCTATGAAAGAATCAATTATTAAATACTGAAAGAAGAAAAGAGGAAGGCATCACATACTCTGTAGACAAAAAGTTTTGGAATATTGCTCTGATGAGATCAAGGCCTTGCCTGACTCTTCGCAAATTCCGTGAGAGGCTTCCTTGTGTCTTCACTGTGTCATTATGCTTATCCAAATCAAGTATGTTATTTAACGTCCCATAGCTATCCGATGCATCCGCTAGATCATTGACCTGAAAATAATTTCACATGGTATAGAAATTGTTCATAGCAAGTTCCATAACCATATTTGTGTGTTCATCCAAACGTTCATTGCACGTTCACAAATGAAAAGGACATACATATGGAAAATGCAAGCCCAAAAATTTATCATTTCGTAGCTTAATCGAGCGAAAATTGGACTGACCTTAGAAACATACTCCAATTCTGCAAATTTGAAAGCGATTCCCAAACAACCAAAGAGGATTGAGACGAGCGAGCACGCATCACAGAACGTTTTCAAATCCAGATCGTAATCGAATCCCTTATCCTTCAACAACGCAGAAAGCTCTTCAAAAGCATCAGCCACAGCCGACAGAGGCGTTAGCCCCACGCTACTGTCCTCGAAAACGTCGTCTTCATCGTCATTCATCGAAACCCTCGATCTCGTCGCCGGAATTTCTCTGCTTCTGAGATAAAAAGCGCAAATTTTCATAACCCTCGACCGAGCGTCGATTCGAATTCCAAAATTCAATATTCGAAAAATGAAAATTAGAAAAATAGAACAATCAAATTGGGAGGGATGGAAATGAGATGTCGAAACCCTTACTTTCCACCGTAAGATCTTTCAGTCCTTGAGAAAAGCGAGTAGAATTTGAGGGCCATGGTTTTAACTTGGTGGCGATTTTTTCGGTCTACCCTTGGGGCAAATGAAATTGGGCGAAAGTCTGTATCCTTGTTCTGGTGATGGCGGAGATTTATATATAGTGGGCGTTAATGGAGTTCGGGCTGGGGATTTCGGGCCTGCGTATCGCCACTTGTAAAGGAGATCGCTAGCGAAAGAAACGTGGAGAAGTTTCGAAGAAATTGGCGCCATATGGAACGAGAAAGTAGTTACGAAGATGTTGATTTGACAATTCTTCTTATTTTTTTTGGCCTTTATTATTCCATTTTTGACCAATTGTTGTTATATAACTATACATTTTAATCTTTTACCGAAGTTATTTATTATTAATTTGTAGCGAGCTTTGTGAAAAATTGACTTATGGACAGGCAGACAGCGTTGGAAACTTGTTCGAATTTACTGATTCAAAGTCGACCTTCAAAGTGGATCTAAATGTTTATTATTTATACGTTACATATAAATATACAATTTAGTATACAAAAGATAATTAGTAATTTATTATGTGCACATTCATATATGCAAAAGTAGGTCGATTGTTGAATCACTCTCCTCTCCACTTACGTTCACATGTTTTTCTTACTTAGGTCAATCCACTTAATATCAGTAGATCCTCTCCACTGGTTAACTCAGTAACATCTTTATCCTTGTCTTAGGTAAAATAGGTCGACTACACTGCGATTAAGTTGAATGAATTATCTAGTAGTCTAGTTGTCATCGTTCCCTTAGCTATTCAAAGTCTATCCTAATTTACTAGATTTGCAATTCTGGTTAAAACGACATGTTTCATCTCCTAATTACATAGATTTCTAGTCTTGTTATGTTGATCTGGTATGCCTTTGAATCGGTCGACCCGAGACGTTAATCCCAATTCAACCAAATTGGAGCTATATCAACACATATCAGTTTAACTTCATCAATAGGTCAAGTTCTGACGGTTGTAATATAAGATGAAACTAGAACAAAATATAGGATGGGATATCAAGCTCTTCACGACTTGCCTTTTATTCTTGTAATAACTAAATTTATTTAGACCTACACTAGAACTACCAAGTTAATTGCACATTTTACACACTAATCATGCCAACCAAATTCCAATAAGGAAAATGGCATAATATAATAATACACTCTCAAACACGACCCGCGCCGGTCAGCTCGAACCCATCGTTTCTTTTTTCCATCCCACCCGCCGGTTTACGAATCTGAACCGGCTTCAGAGTGTAAAACTTGGCGCACAGCAGATAATACACCAGGTTCACGAGCTGCAGGAGCGTAATGAGCCAGTAGAAATACTCCAGCCTCCCCCTGTTCAAGTTCCCGTCCGGCAGCCAGTTGGATCCACCGGACCCCGCCGTGAACTTGTGCACCAGCGTCACCAGAAGCGTGCTCGTGTAGCTCCCCGCCGAGATCGACAGCCAGAAAAGCGCCGTCGCCGTGCTCCTCATGCTCTCCGGCGCCTGGTCGTAGAAGAACTCGAGGTGCCCGATCGACATGAACGCCTCCGCCATCCCGTGGAGGCAGTACTGCGGCGCCAGCCACAGGACCGAAATCGGGATCGCCGCGTGCGGCCGGTCCAGCAGCCCGTGCGCCGACGCGACCCCCTTGCGGCGGATCTCGACGAACCCGGCGACAAATGTGGCGAGGACCGAGATCCCGAACCCGATCCCCATGCGCGTGAGGAAGGACACGCCGCGCTCGAGGCCGGTGATCCGACGCGCCAGGGGCACGAACGCGCGGTCGTAGAAGACGATGGTGCAGAGCATCGAGATCTGGGTGAAAACGCTCATGGAGGCCGCCGGGATCTGGAATCCGGAGGCTGGGAGGTGTCGGTCCATGGATTTCGCCTGCTGGAGGGAGAAGGTTCCCTGCTGGGCCGCCGCCGTGATGAGGAGGATCCCCGCCGCCCAGATCGGACCCATCCGGATCAGGGATTTGAGCTCCTCCACGCGGTGGACAGTAGCCAGCCTCCACGGGTTGGGCGATTTCGGGTCATCGGATCGGGTCACCACGGCCGCCTTGTCCAGAAACCTAAAATCCATATCAAAAGTTTTCAGGTTTTTCAATTGAAATCAAACTCAAATTGAAAAATTCTCCCCCAAACTCACTTCATACTCTCCGTATGCACGAGCTTCCCACCAACTGAAATCCCGGCATCAAGTTCATCATTCTCGTAAAGCTCGATTGCCCCATAATCCAACTTCCTTTTCCTGAAGGCTGCCACACAGACCTGAGCCAGCCGCGTGAAGGGGCTGCCAGCTGGATCCAGCTTCCGGTAAAGAGGGTACCCAAACACAAAAGCCACAACCGAGAAAAACATGGCGACAGCTGGCACTCCGAGGCCCCAACCCCAGCCAACATTGTCCTGAATGTAGACAATAACAGTGTTGGCCACGAGTATTGAAGCTCCCATGCAGAAGTAGTACCAGTTGAAGAATTTCCAGGTGGTGGTTTTCTGTGCAGGGTCGTTTTCGTCAAATTGGTCTGCTCCGAAGGAGACGACGCAGGGTCGGATGCCGCCGGAACCGAGGGCCGTGAGGAGGAGGGAAATGTAGAGGATTGACAGCTGGCCTGAGTCGGCTTGTTTGCAGAGTTGGTCGGTTGAGGTGCAATGGGGTGGCCTGAGATTGGGGAGTGTGGCTGAGAGTGTGAGGCTGATCATGCCCTGTGATTTCGAAAGAATAATTAGATTAGCGTGGATCGGGAAATAAATGTATGAAATATAGATAAATAAGTAATAGTCGTGAGTCTAGTAATAATGTGTTAGCATGTTTGTTGTGGCTGCACTGCAGACTGTGCAAGAGCTTGATCTAGAACTGACCAGGGCAGTTT